CTTATGGCGTGTTTTACAGAGGATTACTAAATATGAACTGCTCCAATGAAGCAAATGCAATAAAAGCAGTAAGAAATGGGGGACAATTAAATTAAGGAATGCTATTTTTATAAAGCATTTCCATGAGTTAAGAATAGTCAGGGATTAAGGTTACGTGATATATCTCATATTTCTACTGTCAGTCTCCAAAGGTTTTATGGAGTGTCCGGTAGAAATGTTCAGTGACCTGCGAGGAAAAAAACGTAATCTCAGACCCAAGCAGATGATGTCGATAGACAGCAGCGCTGACGCCGATGTGTTTGTGTTGCAGGAGAATTTGAGGAGGAGTCGAAGCAGCCGACGCCGTCTGAACAACAGAAACACCAGCTCAAACACAGAGAACTCTTCCTGTCCCGACAGTTCGAATCCCTACCTGCTACTCACATACGGTACGTGATCATCAGCGGGACTCACTGACACTACTGCAGTTAAGTCTGAATCCAGCTTCTCACTGCTGTCACGCCAGTGATATGTCCCTGCCTGTTTACTTCCTCTTTAAAAGACTTGTTACCCATTCTGTTCAACTGTTGATGAATGGATCACACGTACACCACATATTGGACTTAGTCATGTAAAGTGTTTTACATAGATATCCAAGTATGGTGGACTCAGTCATCCTGACACCACTGGTATCTCCTTTAGAAAGCAGCTGTAGCAGCAACAGATGTCCAAACTATTCATATTATTATTTTTAACATTCATGCTCAGGTTATTGGTATGTATGATAAGAGTCACAAACGGACCATAGATCTTTTCTTGCTCTGTGGGAACTTCCCTGTGTTTCTGAGCAGCACATTCAGATTATTGAGATTTGTCAGAATTAGCCTACTTTGAACTTTCTTCAATATGTGTAACCCATCCCTTTCTAATATGTGCCTCTCTATCAAATCCTCTATTGAAAATATATGAGGGGGGGTGGAAAGAAAACAATATGATGAAATTAACATAACAGTAGTTTATTAATTGAAATCTGACTGGACAACATTTATAAAGAAATGTGTGTATTGAGCAGCATTCAAGGCCACAAACATCTCAACTCTGAAGAGAATCTTTGTCTTCGACATCCTGCTCAGTGAATGCTCCTCTCTGTCTCCCCAGGGGGAAATGTAACGTCACCCTCCTCAATGAAACGGACGTGTTGTCCGGCTACCTGGAGAAAGAGGTAAGACTCCGTCTGCTGGTTTCATCAGCATTACTTTTTTAGAGAAAGATGCAGTGAATGTGTTGGTGCATTCTGCAGGCAGCTGTAATAATTTTATGTGTGTTCGGTCCAGGACTGCTTCTTCTACTCGTTGGTGTTCGACCCCGTCCAGAAGACCCTACTGGCGGACCAGGGCGAGATCCGGGTGGGCTCCAAGTACCAGGCAGAGATCCCCGACAAGCTAGCTGAGGGTGAGCAGCACGCTTAAAGTTTGAGATACCGGGCAAATGTATTACTTTTTTTTTTTTTAAACAGTTCCCCTTCCTAAGTTGAACCCAGTTGCTCCTCGTCTCAGGTGAGTCAGACAACCGGATCCAGGAGAAGCTGGAGACCAAAGTGTGGGACCCCAACAACCAGCTTAAAGACCCTCAGATAGACCAGTTCCTGGTGGTGGCAAGGTAACGCTTCCCTCCCATCTGTCACTTAGTTGCATCATCACTTAATCCTGTTGCCATGACGACTTCTGACTCTGCCATCCCCAGGCGAGCTTTTCTCGAGGAAATGTGTGAACTGGCAACAAGTTTGATAATCTGATGTGAATATATATTTCATGGTTGATACATGTAACACCCGAGAGTACATTAAGAGGTAGTCATTTCAATTCAGGATATATACACATTTTGCCAGATATGCACCCGAGTATGCATTTGGATGATGATACTATGCTAGTGTTTGGGGGAGCAGCACAGTTTAATAAAGGAAATCTACAGGAAGTTTATTTTTGGAGGGAAATCCTCCTGCTGCCCATTAAATGGTCAAAACACACCATCTAGTGTTCATTAATGAACATTCAGCACTCTACACACATTCTCTCATAAACATTACTAATATTAATATTAAGCTATTGCCAATGTAGAGCAGACAGATCACAGATCAGTGATATTAACCAAAGCATGGATCATTTCAGGGCTGTGGGAACCTTTGCTCGGGCCCTGGACTGCAGTAGCTCCATCCGCCAGCCCAGCCTCCACATGAGTGCAGCTGCAGCCTCCAGAGACATCACACTGGTGAGACCACTGACTGACTGTGCGCGTGTGCGCGTGTGCGCGTGCGTGCGTGCTTATCTTTCCACACTATATTGATATTAACAATTAGGTCCAATCTGGGGCAAATGGTAATGTTGTGGTTTGTTGCTGAAGTATTTGCCTCATAGCTGCTCAACTGCTCATCAGGTGATAAAATACATTTCCCATCATTATTAGCACAGGTTTTGAGCTTACTTAGGAGACAGACCATCAGAGAGAAGATGGTCTATTTCTATATAGTTATTCCTAATGCTCGTCATCGTTGCCACCGGTTTGGACTTGGTGAGATCGGATGAAAACATGTAGGTTCACCAGAAACTCCTTCAGCTCAGACTCCAGCGGGGCCTCTGGCAGCAACAGGCCCGGGAGAACCAGAACAAAGCAGGGCAGATGGTCCCTGCTGCAGTAAAATACGAGGTTTTCTAAAAGGAATCTGGTTTTCTGAAACATTCCCGCTTTTGTCCACAGGGAGCGCCAAAATCCACACAAGATGAAAGTTCCTTGTAGTAGCTTTTATAGCACACATGGACATCCTGTTCCATGTCCGATTTTAAGAAGCCCAGTCCATGTTTGGGACCACTGCATCCACTGTGTAACATGATGGGGCTTTAAGTAGCAAAAGTCTCTCACAGCATCGACGTCTTGTCACCTCATGTATCCACAGCAGCTTCAGTTGTGACTGTTGAGATGTGGCGACATTAAAGGTTTCCTGAAAGGGAGCTCATATATCACTGATCCCAAAACAGCATGTGGTGTGCTGAGCCAACTCAACCAACTACTACCTTCCTAGACACCAATTCTACAATCTGGCTGTGTTTAGAAGTATATACAGGAGAAATCACATGACAAGCCTTAGCCTCTAATGCTAATATATGTGTAATGCATAGCTCTTGCTATCTGTGGTGCTGAAGCTCTAATGTGCCTCTCTTCCTTCCCCCTGCTCTCAGTTCCATGCCATGGACACGTTGCAGAAGAACAGCTATGACCTGGCCAAAGCCATGTCCACGCTGGTCCCTCAGGGCGGCCCGGTGCTGTGCCGCGATGAGATGGAGGAGTGGAGCGCCTCAGAGGCCATGCTGTTTGAAGAGGCCCTGGAGAAATACGGCAAGGACTTCAACGACATCCGCCAGGACTTTGTAAGCTTCTTCTTCTTCTCTCCTGTGGAAGCTTGATGAGTGCTGTTGTTGATTGGTGGTATTCACTGGTGATGCAAACATTTAAACGCTGCTGTTAACGTCAGTTTGATGTGGAATTGAACTGAACTCTGGCAGCAGACATCAATTATTTTAGTAATCAAGTATTCTTCCAATTATTCCGTTGATTAATCGAGCAATCTGATTAATAAATTACTTTAGTAAGAAGCAATAATACATATACAAAAGAGAAAATAAGACGGAATAAAAAATAAATTGCAAACAATAATCTAATCAGTCAAAACTAAACCTCATTAGTGCATTTCAGTGCCATATTACAGTTTCATTTATAGTAGTTATGCAGAAACACACAATTCAAATGAATAGGAGTTAATTCGGTGTTTATTGTTTTACTTAAATATTTGCGTTATAATTTACTTTGATACAAATTTTTTACTAAATAGAGCTTTACTTAATAAAGCTTGAATGCATCATAATGTAACTTAATGCAACCTCCGTCAACGTTAGCTGTTAGCTTCATTATTTAGCCAAGCAGGACTGTGCTGCCCACCGGCTGCTAACGGCTAACGTTAGCTAGCTCTCCTCAATCTGAGCACTGATGATTAGGGGCTCAATGAACCCCAGAGTTGTTGTGGATGGGGGTCAGGGGTGTAATCAAAGCCCAATGATTTTTAGTGTTTGAGCTGCTCAAGTTTCTTCAGGAATGGTTTCAGCCCTAAACTAAACATATATTCTGTTTGTATCCTTCCTCTCCCTCAGCTGCCCTGGAAGTCTCTAGCCAGTGTGGTCCAGTTCTACTACATGTGGAAGACTACCGACCGCTACATCCAACAGGTAGGTCTGCAGTGAGGCGCCTCAAAGCACCGTTTGGTATTCCCTGCTCATTCACAAACCATTCACTGTTTTCTCTCTCTGTCAGAAACGACTAAAGGCAGCAGAGGCAGACAGCAAGCTGAAGCAGGTGTACATCCCCACCTAGTAAGTATCACTGTAAACCGCTTCACGATGTACCCACCTGTAGTTAGAACTGCTGTCAGGATAACTCTCCCTTTTTCCCCTCCCACTCCAGCACCAAACCCAACCCCAACCAGATCATGGTGCCAGGCAGCAAGCCTGGTATGAACGGGGCTGCAGGCTTCCAGAAGGGACTCAGCTGTGAGAGCTGCCACAGTAAGTACGCACGGTGCAGGACCCATCTGATGGGTGGATGGAATTCTAGTGACTCCAGATTTAGTTGCTTTTAGGGCAGCAATGATGACAAGAATCTTCAGGACTGATATCAAAACAGAAGACAAGAGGCCTCATTTTGAGGTCACAGGTTTACAGTTTCAGTCCAGGAGATAATAACGTTTTGACTTGATGTTGTGCACCTGGATGAATAAGATGAACTTTTAAGATAAACAATTACTCACACCGGATGTAACTGCAGTTTTTTTATATTCATCACCATAAAAAACTGTTGAATGTCCAATCAGAACTACATTTGCCCTCTCCTAACACCAATGTTCCCTCCACCTACCCAGTGGCCCAGTCTGCTCAGTGGTATGCCTGGGGGCCTCCCAACATGCAGTGCAGACTGTGCGCCTCCTGCTGGATCTATTGGAAGAAGTACGGAGGCCTGAAGACCCCCACGCAGCTAGAGGGCGCCGCTAGAACCGGCTCTGTAAGTCTCCGTCCTCACAGTCTCAGGCTTGAGTTCGAACAAACATTCCATTCAAGAGTTGTCCTCTCAGAATGACATGACTCCGTCCTCACGGTATCCCCTCTTCCTCTTCGTGCAGGAGTCAGGCCCCCGCGGTCACATGACACGCCAGGAGGTCCAGGGCATGTCGCCGTTCACCCGCAACGAGGGTCGCGCCAAGCTGCTGGCCAAGAACCGCCAGACGTTCATCCTGCAGACCACCAAGCTGACACGCATCGCCCGGCGGGTGTGCGAGGACATCCTGCAGCCTCACCGCGCCGCGCGGCGGCCCTACGCGTCCATCAACGCCAACGCTGTCAAGGCTGAGTGTATGTACAACACTCTCACTTTAATGCATGTCAATCACAGGTTGGTTATGTGCGAGCACCATATGTAAGATGAGTCTAAACTACGTTGTACCTTGTTTGTGTCTTCAGGTATAATCAGGCTGCCCAAAGCCACAAAAACTCCTCAAAAGACCAAGTTGGTGCCTCGACCGTCTCTGGCCAACATAGTGAAGGATTTAGGTAAGGACGCGTCACATGACCGTCACTTCTCTCTGAATCCACCTTCTCCGTTGCGATTGGTTGTTGAGGAGTGTCGTTGTGTCTCCGCAGCCATCTCAGCCCCTCTGAAACTGAAGGCGTCTCGAGGACCCCCGACACCCATCAACAGGAACCAGGCCAGCCAGCCCCGCGTGGGCCAAAGCCTGCTGGGAAAGAGAGGCTTCGAGAACGTTAGTATTACACACACGCACACACACTGTGTTCACAGCCCTGCTGGCTTATGATTTCAGAAAATATGCTGACATAAAGTGGAATCACACATATCCGGCCCACACATAGGCGACCAATCAAATGCTTGACGTGCATCAGCTCCTCCCTACCCATAACACCCTTCTCTGCGTATGTCCACGGCCACCTTCACTGCCTTTTCTGTTACTAGAAAAACTAGCTGTATAATTTACAGAAAAGGTTCTTTCTAAACGGCTTTTTCTGGACAGGTTGCCTTTATGTGATGGCTTCAAGTCCATCCATCCATCCATTTTCCTCCGCTTATCCGGGGTCGGGTCGCGGTGGCAACAGGCCAAGCAGGCTGACCCAGACTTCCCTCTCACCGGCAACATGTTCCAGCTCATTCTGGGGCATCCCGAGGCGTTCCCAGGCCAGCTGGGAGATGTAATCCCTCCAGCGTGTTCTGGGTCTTCCCCGGGGTCTCTTCCCAGTTGGACGTGCCTGGAAAACTTCCCTCTGGCCTCAGGTTCTTGTGGGGGGTGCTGCGGGAGTATGGGGTGCCGGACCCGTTACAACGAGCGATCCGGTCTCTGTACAACTGCAGTAGGAACTGTGTCCGCATTCTCGGCAATAAGTCAGACACGTTCCCGGTGGGTGTTGGCCTCCGCCAGGGCTGCCCTTTGTCTCCGGTCCTGTTCGTGACTTTCATGGACAGGATATCTAGGCGCAGCCGGCGGGTGGAGAACGTCAGGTTCGGTGGTCTCAGGATCGCCTCTCTGCTGTTTGCAGATGATGTGGTCCTGTTAGCCTCCTCGGATCGTGACCTCCAGCATTCACTGGGGCGGTTTGCAGCCGAGTTTGAAGCGGCGGGGATGAGAGTTAGCACCTCCAAATGGCTTCAAGTGTTCTATTCAAATATGGGGAGAGAGATCAATATTCCAGAGAGACACGTCAGTACTTGGCCCAGGCAGCCAATCAAATCTAGCAAGAGGCGGGCTTTTCTGCTTTACCACTGACTTCCTCTTTTGATGCCGGTAGATGTGGAAGGAACGGACAAAAGCGGATGAAAGTTTGATGTTAGTGGGTTGTATTTCATTAGCTTCTTTCTCATGCAACAGCAAGAACTCGATGTCTGCAATAATTCCATGGTTCCCCTGTTATTCACATTTGATCTTGTGGTTGCGTACCTCCAACGGCTCATCAGCTGCTTCGCCCGACTGGCTTTGCCATGGGGGAGTTTAGGGAGTGGTGACGTGCCTGCTACGACGCGTCTCGGTGCGATCGGGGCCTGAGGCCACTGACAGGCACTGGCCTGTCTCTTGTAATCGTCATACAAGTCTGATCACATGTTTACCTTTTTAGGTAGCGAACACGGCTGATTCACTCAGCCGGTCTGTCATTGGTCCACAGGCTGCAGGTGTGCCCTACCCGGCCAATGGGAGGCCGTACACTTCAGGTATGAGAACCACCTCTCAGTCGGTCATCAAGCGGCAGAAGGTCAGCCAGGGGGAGGCGCCCAACCCTGTGGTGTTTGTGGCTACCAAGGACACCAGGTACTTCTTCTTCTTCTACATCATTCAAACGCTGTAATCTTAAAGATGCAACACCATCACGGTGGTAAAGCAGCGTCGGAAATACACGAGGGCAAAGGGCAAAACTGCCCCTAAGAAATATCATTTTGCCCCTGATATCACTAGGAGAGGGGCAAAAAATGCCCCCGAACTTTCTAAACGAATAAAAAAAATGGAGCGCTTCTTAATCAGACCTGTGACTGCGAGACTGCAGTCAACTCAGCAGACACTTAAATTTTAGTGCACCTATATCCTGAAATTCACGGTGAACTCATTAAAACGGCGCAGATCGGGAGCGAGTGAAGGACTTTCAAAGTTAACGGAAAGATTAACGTGAGACAACATCGGGTTTCTTTAGACGAACATCCGGTTTTCAGAATAAGATGCCAACAAAGTATACATATTGCATAATGGAAATTAGATTAAATGAATTATATTCACATTAAGTATAAAACATGCTACCTGCATCTCGTGAGTTAAAGGGAAAATACACCTAAATTGTGCGTAAAGTGTCTTTATTCTTTGATTTGAGGGTTGCTGGAAATGAATAATACCTGACAGTCAATTAAGATATTTTACTAAGTAAAAACTCTGAACTGAATTTGTACCTTCAAATGGCACATTCTTTTAAATTTTTAAGGTGCTATAAAAATGTTTTTCTCAAAAATTCCACACAATGCTAATGCATATGTTCAGGACAAAAATGGATAATATCACAATATTTAAGATGCTACAAAAATATTTTTTCTCAATAATTCCATACAATGACTGATATATATGTAATCAAGGCATCGTTGACTTAATAATTGTTAATAGTTGTTTAAAACATTTAATAATAACAATAAATAACCACAAAGAAATAAGAATATGATTGTCTGATTTACGTTTGTTTTTTGTTCAAAAAATCTAAGAAAACACTTTGAATCTGTAGACTACTGCCTAATAGTCTTATTATTGCCATTTGATGACAATTGCTCATATACTGTAAGCCTAAATAAGTATATTTATTATTTTGAACAAAGGTTAAATGTTATTTCACAAGTTTCAAAAAGTGCCCCCAATTTTTTGAAAATGGCCCTAGATTTCAGTCAGTGGGGGCAAAAGTTGCCCCCAAAAAAATATGTAAATTTCCTACCCTGTGGTAAAGTAAGGAATGGATGGTCTGGTTTCTACCACAATAAAGGCCCAGTATCTCTTTCAGCTGCTGATTGAAACATGACAGTCTTGTAGTCGTCACAGTGGATGAAGTTAAACTCATTATGTCCTGGTGTTCTCTGTCAACCAGGGCTCTGAGAAAGCATCTGACCCAGTCAGAGATGCGCCGGGCAGCGAGGAAACCTCACCTCCTGGTCCGGATCAAACTGCCACCGCCCCCCCGCTCCCTGGTCATGCCCCTGCTCCCCTCCAGCACCAACGAGCCCATCGTCCTGGAGGACTGAAGGGTGGAGGGACATGGGGGGGTGGTCTTTTACCAGGACATGGGGGTCGGGTTGGGGAGGGTCTGTGCTCAGGCCGTCACTTAACAGGCAGCACAGTACGCCATACCAGTAGTCTTTTATTTCCCTCTTTTCTTTAGTCCTCTGTTACTTCCCAAACGTTGATGTGTCCAACACACACACACACACACTTAGATGACTGTACATTTCCATCACACACACACACACACATCGACACTCGCGCAACACCTTGGGCGTTGTAGTATTTTATTCCAGATCCTAAATAATTTTTTGATCCCCTTTTCAATTGCGCCTGTTTTTAAATGTGTAATTTAACTTCAGATACATCTCATCCTGAAAACAACGGTGTTAAAGCACACTTTGTTTTTCTTCCTCCACGACGTCTCTATCTTTGTGTAAATATACGCACCGTTGTAAGGGGATGAAGCCCGCAGTATGGGGGGGGGGGGGGGGGGGGTCTAATTTGATGAGAAAATGTCATTCCAGCAGGGACAAATCTGACTGGCTATTAATCGTAGCTCGTTGACTGTGCTCGTGTTCACTGGTGAAGTTGAGGAGACGTGTTGGGATACGTTGAGCCGTCCTCAGTCCGTCTAAACAAAGTGTTTGTTGTCTGTAACTGTCCCCGTCATCAGCCAGGAGCCAAAACCCTGAACCACCTCACTGACAGAAATACTGAGTGAGCACAAAGTGTGTGTGTGTGTGTGTGTGTGTGTGTGTGTGTGTGTGTGTGTGTG